TTTTTTTTATAAAAAAAAGGGGGGAAGAAGAAAAATCAAAAAGGATTTTTTTAAAAAAAAAAGAGAGAGAGAAAAAAACCCCCGCAAATAGTAGTGTCATTGGCGGCTTACGTCGTCTCGACAAGCATCGCGATGGACGCTCGCTCGGAAATACTGTTCCCACGGTTCGTGTAGTGAAAAGGGTATATTCCCCCCCCCCTTCCTTCCTTCCCGTATCGTTCGGGGCGTGGGAAATTTTATCTGGGTTTTCCCACCCTCCCTCCTTCTCGACTTTTTTTTTTCCTTTACGCGGGACGCAACGAGAGAACGACAGCTGAGTACGAAAAGGGGGAAAAGGAGAGGAAACGGTGATTTTTTTTTTATAAAAAAAAGGGGGGAAAAGGAAGGGGAGAAAGAAGGAAGAGGAAAGGAAAAAAACGAGAGAGAGAAAGACAGGAGAAAACGGGGGTGCTTCTTTTCTTACCTAGGAACCCTTTTTTTAAAAAAAAAAAATACTCTGCAGGAGGAGGGGGGGGGGGAAAGAATTTAAAATTAAAATTAAGCGCAGCGTCCCCCTGCCTGAAGTCCCGCCCTGTCTTGGGACGCACGACGTGGAACCCAAGTGCTTCCAAAAACCCAACCGTGGTTCTCCGGGTGGAGAAGGGGGGGGGGGGCAATCCGTAGGAATGCGACACCTCCCGGATGTGCAAAAATGTGTCCGGCAGGAAAATTCTTCCCCCGTCTTGCTCCGGGGGGGCCTGTCAGAGACAGGTTTTTTTTTTTAATACATATATATATATATATATGCAAATATATATATTTGCAAAATGCTTTAGGGGACCCCTGGGGCCACGCGGTGCCCGGATAATTTCCTGGATTTAGGAAAGGGCAGACCCGACGAGGTGCTCCGGGAGGGCAGCAAACACCTCTCCCACCCCCCCGCCTTCTTTTCTAGGCGAGGCCTCGTTTTCCTCCCTCTGGACCGTGGGATGGGGCAGGGGGGACAAAAAATAATAAATTAAAACGGTTGAGCGTCCCTCTCCCCGGAGGAGAGGGCCTTTTTCCTTAGTACCTTAAGAGAACCGAGAAGGCGTGGCTGGCTCCCCCTTCCCCTCCCCGGTGCTGAACGCTGGACGCTCCTGCGAAATGGAACAGGGTGGGTGGGTAGGGTGTGTGTGTGTGTGAGTGGGTGGGAGGGGGCTTGCCTGCCCAAGTGCAGGGACTAAGTGCTACAGAACCGTTTCGTCAGTTTCCTTCGGCTCGGCCGGACCACCGTGGCTCCCTCCGAGAGACGCAGGATGGCGGAGGGTCCCAAAAAACCCAGGCCCGGCTGTCAGTCTTTTTTAACGCCGCACCCTTGGCTGCGAGGGAGGGGGGGGCGGCGAAGAAGGGGGCGAGCGGTGCGTTGGAGGGAGTGGGGGAGGAGAAAAACACGATGCGGGGTTCACTTCCTGCAGCTGGTCTCCGGGAGGAGGAGGGTGCGACGTCGCAATTTCCTTCCGGAGCCTTCCTCCAACAGGTAGGTGACGTCGATGGCTGTGCGGAGAGGGGAAGCAGAGAGAGAAGAGCAGAGAGGTTAAGGTTGTAAGCCGGTGGGATGAACAGCACAACAGTCATTTTGGTGTTTGTTTGTTTGTTTTGTAGGTGGAAATACCCAAAAGGCCACATTGGAGTGGAAGGAGCGTTGAGTTTGAGTTTAATGAAATTTGCATGCCGCCCACTCCCATTGGGACTCTGGGCGGCTCACAGCAAAATAAAAACATTTAAATTTTTTAAAAAGATACAATATTTAAAATTAATACGTCATTCATTCAGTCAAGTGGGGCTGGATATTAAGAGCCAAGGTGGCGCAGTGGTTAAATGCAGCACTGCAGGATACTGCTAGATCAGCAGGTCAGCGGTTCAAATCTCCCCGGCTCAGGGTTGACTCAGCCTTCCATCCTTCCGAGGTGGGTAAAATGAGGACCCAGATTGTTGGGGGCAATATGCTGACTCTCTGTAAACCGCTTAGAGAGGCCTGAAAGGCCTATGAAGCGGTATATAAGTCTACTGCTATTGCTATTGCTATTGCTATTGCTATTGCTATTGCTTTCAGCTTGAGTGGACAGCACAATGTTGACAAGTCAGGCATAGGGCACTGCCTAGGATTT